CAGATTGCGGCCGTCATTGTGTCTCGAGTAGGCTCCAAGACTTGGCAATCGTATGCGTCTCATTTCGCGGCATTCGTGCGTTTCTGCGTCAGTGAAGACCTTGAGTTCTTGCCGGCGTCCCGGTATACCGGGTTGTTGTGGGCACAGTACCTGGCTGCCCGTGGTTCTGTTCGGGCTCGCACCGCGCAGCCCTACTTCAGCGCGGTTAATACAGTGCACGATTTGTTAGGGCTGGCTAAGCCGTGTGATGGGGATAATGTGCTGTTGTCGGCGTTCCGTAAGGGCTGGGAGCGGCTGCAGGTCTCACTGGCCCCTACCTCGTCCCTTGTCCTCGCCTTCAGTGCTTCGGACGCCTGGAGGCTATACGACCGGCTCCCGTCCGTCCCGGTTGCGTCGGATTTGTTTGTCCCTCTTTTGTTCGTCGTCCTTGGCTTCTGTCTATTTTTGCGTCCCGACTCCTTGCTGTCTGTCGTCTGGGCGCGGGTTTCGGTTGTTGATGAGGAGCCTGTGTTTCAGTACAAGCCTTTGCACTGGAAAGGCCGTATTACAGCCCCTGAGTTGGCCCCGGTGTTGCAGTTCCCGCTGGGGGGCCTCCCGTTTCTCCGGGTTGCCCTCCTGCAGAAGCTGTCCCGGGACCCTGCGCGTTTATGGCCGGAGCGCCAGACGACTCANGGGGCCGAGCGTTGGTTCGATCGTGTTTTGGCGCAGTGTGGCCTGGAGGGCCTTCGTTCCGTCCACACCCTTTATAGTTTGCGGCGGGGTGGTGCCTCGGCCGCCCGTGCGGCGGGAGTGCCACTGGATATCATCGAAGCATTTGGTGGCTGGGCCGCAGGCTCGTCGGCGTTGCGGGAGAACTACCTCGATTTGGGGGTCCGTGGCTGCCCTCGTGCGGTCGCCTTCTTTGGCCCTCTCGCGGCCCGGCGTGTCGCGCCGGTGATGGGTCAGTACTTTAACCGCTGAGAGGGGGTGTCTTTCCTTTTGGCAATAGACTCGTAGCAGGAGCTAATGCGGGCTATGCGAAGCTTGAGCCGGGTTAGCTAAGGCGTAGGGCCTTACGGCCGTTTTAAGTGGTACGACTTGAGGCCGGCGATCCGTGTCCTCAGGATCGTCTTTTGCATAAATAGCGCGTGTTGCAGGTTTTCTGTATCTTGTTTTTGTTGTTCAGCACGCGCCCCGCCCTCCCACCCTGGAGGCCGCGTCGCCCGCCCTTTTCGCTCTACTACATTATTTCTTTTCCTTTTGGTTCGGTGCGGCCTTTTCATCGATCAGGCCGTAAGAGCACAGCCAATATCTGTAACAGAAATGGCAATGGCAATAGACTCGTAGCAGGAGCTAATAAGCAGCCCCTCGCACAAATGTGTCCGGTCGTACTTCGCGAATAAAGTGTTCGTACATCGTCCCAAAAAAGCCAGGAGCGAATTTTGCCGCGCAGATGCGCGCGTGCGATTCACAAAATGCGCCTGTACAAGTGTATATAAATTTTCTTGGCGGATGAGGACCACGTGCGCCAGCGCGTTGCGCAAGTGGGCATGTTGGCCATAGCCGCACGCGGCATGCATGCTGGACTATTGCCTGGATGCTTTGCAGTAACTGAAAGCACCGAAAGCCTACGTCGTAGCTTGCAAGACTGGGCTCGTGAAACGCCTGCTTTCTGTAGCGCAGCGCATACAGCACCTTGTTCCGACTAAAGTCAAGTTACACTCTTACGAAAATAATTATAACAAACGCACAATTAGGTAAAGATAAAAATCGCGAAAGTCGTTCAGAACCTTGCAATGGCGTTTTGTCAGGCATGTCGCCCTCGTGTATCTCCGCCGTCACGTTGTACAAGAACGCTGCACGGGCATGGAGGGCGGGAGGGTGGATGTGAGGTTGGCGGGATGGCGGGGCGGAAGTGGAGGCATGCAGGGGCGGGGAGTGACAGATACGGACCCTGTGGCCACATGGCCGGGCAGCTGGAAAGCGGGCAGAGGGGACGGCAGCTGGCGCAAGCGAGCAATGGGCAGCAAGGGCGCTCGCATAGCCCACACAGCAACTGGACACTTGACGCTTGACGGATAGGGTCCGACGATTTCAGCGCTAGCCTTCTGGACGTTGAGCAGTGCTGTTGTATTTGGGCACGATCGCACTTAAGGTTTCATTCACGGTGCATACATGTCCGACCTTAACTCGTGTGAAAACGGCTGCTGCTGCCCATACGGACAGCAGCGCTTGGGATGGTCTATTGCGTGAGCGTTGGGGGAAAGGGGGGGGCCCGCTGCGCTCCTTTCTATGTCCGCTCGTCGCGTGCTCGGGTGCAAGTTGGTAGCGTGCGAGTTCACCCATCATGTTGCCTGTTCTGGCATGGCCATCCACGCGCGACAGGAAACTTGAATCTAGGCCTTATTCTTCGTTCCCACATCATAGCAAAGGACCGACGCAACGTGTACTGTACACGCGCTGTTGCTATGGTGCTGTTCTTGTTCTTGTTGTTGTTGCTGTTGTTCTTGTATACGCGCGCGACGACATGACTGCATGTACATTGCGCCGTGCGCCAAACGCCCTGTAACCAGCTTCGACTAATCTCACATCACAATATGCCACTGCACTTTCCTCTCCAGCCTGGCCACATTCCCTTCCTCGCAAACGTGCTTGGGCACCTTCCTATCCAACACCATACGGGCTTTAGAAACGCGGGCAGCTGCTTCACAAGGACCCCCCGTCGCCCATGCTCGCCATGCGAAGACGAACAGACATAGCTTCGACGCCCTTCAGATTCAGCCCGCCTCTTTTACGCATCCCGTTTGTACGATGCCGCAACTTGTATAAATGCCAGCCTGTGTCGCCTTCTTTTTCACACATTCTTCTGCTTCCTTTTTTTGGCTCAAAGACCAAAGACCCTTTTGCGGACGGCAACCAGCCAGCCTGTCACTTCGCAGACACTTCTTCTACTGTTGCAAACTCGCACAAGATGGCTCCGAAAATGGCACGCCAGTCACAAGTAACACCGCAAACCCTTGCGCCCGTCAACTTGAGCGCTTATGGCACGCCTTCGACAAGCCAGCCGTCCACCTCTTCCGCCGGCACCGAAGCCAAGCCGCCCGTCGACATAGCTGAACGGCTTGAACGGCTTGGGATGGTCTATTGCGTAAGCGTCCCGACTAACGACAGCTCCTGTCTATGTCCGCTCCTCGCGTGCTCGGAAGCAAGTTGGTAGGGGGCAAGTTGGTAGTGTGCGAGAGCACCCATCATGTTGCCTGTTCTGGCATGGCCATCCACGCGCGACAATGAACTTGACTCCTAGGCCGGCTTCTTTGTTCCTACTTCATAGCAAAGGACCGAAGCGACGTGTCCTGTGCGCGCGCTGTTGCTGTGCTGCTGTTCTTCTTCTTCAGTGTTGTTGCATACGCGCGCGCGACGACATGACTGCATGTACATTGCGCCGTGCGCTAAACGACCTGTAAACACCGGCCACTATACTGCTTCAACGCTAATCTCACATTCCAATTTGCCACTGCACTGCTTTCCTCTCCAGCCTGGCCACAATCTATTCCGCGCAAACGTACTTGGGCACCTATCAATCCAACACCATACGGGCTTTGAAAACGCGGCCAGCTGCTTCACAAGGACCCCCCTCTTTAAGATATAGGCGAGTGGAACTGTGTAGGTAAAGCCAACCTTAACCGTTACAGGTATCACAGAACAAGCTTTCAGTCAGAACATCATCTCCTTTATACCAAACATCCCATCTTATCTGTCGTACAGCCGTTAGTGTTCTGGCCGGAACTCAACACTCCCCCTCGGACAGAACACTCGGGCGAATCCAACTCAACGAACACCCAGCCCTTCTCGAAACTGCACGAACTTCCCTTCCGGTAACGGCTTCGTGAGGATATCCGCTACCATGCTGGTAGTGGGACAGTACTCAAACTTCACCTGCCCCATAGATACCCTCTCACGCACAAAGTGATGGATCACATCGATGTGCTTCGCGCGTTCCGAAACAATCGGATTCTTTATCAGACTTAATGCTCCCTGGTTGTCACCCCAGATACGCATCACGTCGATCTCACACCCAAACTCGGGCAGAAGTTTCCTCAGCCAGAGCGCTTCACGAGTAGCTAAGGACGCCGCCATATACTCGGCCTCCACAGTCGATGCTGCTACAGTCGGTTGCAACCGACTCTTCCAGCTGACGGCTCCACCGCCAAGGATAAAGGCATATCCAGTTGTCGAACGGCGGTTGTCTCGGTCCACTGCCCAGTCCGCATCGGCATAACCCTCAATTGCCTTGCTGTCCCTGGCAAAACATAAACCGAAACTCGCAGTCCCTTTCAGATATCTCAGGATATCCTTAGCAGCCTCCCAGTGAGCCTTCGCCGGCTCAGACATATACCGCGCCAACTTAAACACAGCATGCGCGATATCAGGACGCGTGCACACTGCCAGATACATCAAACCACCAATCAACTCTCGGTAGCGCGTTGCATCCAACAATACCTGATCGATATCACTTGTACGGTTCAGAACTAGACTTGGCGTCATAGGAACCGACTTAGGTACTGCATCCTCCATCCCGAACTTGGCCAACAATTCGGCCGTATATCGCTGCTGCGATATTTTGACCTCGCCTAGCTCCTTGCTCCGACTGATTTCCATACCCAAAAAGAACGACACCTCCCCCAAATCACGGAGGTCAAATTCAGCCTTCAACTCTTGCTTTATACGGGCTACTTCCTCGCTTTTGTTGCTAGCAAGTCGTCAACGTGAGCGTATAGCCACACAACAAATGACTGTTCTTCCAGCGTAAAGAAGCTGGGATCCGCATCAGAAACCTTGAAACCAATAGCCTCGAGCGTTTCCCGCAGCTTCTGGTGCCAAGCTCTGCCTGCCTGGTGTAAACCATACAACGCTTTCCGCAACAGACACTTCATACCTGCGCCACCTGTTTCAAAACCAGGCGGTTGGTCACAATAAATCACCTCCTCCAGCGTCCCGTTGAGGAACGCAGTGCGCACGTCTAGGTGGTGAACCTCAAATCCTTCAGCCGCGGCCTTCGCCAGGAATGTACGCAACGTCACCTGATTGCTACCAGGCGCGAATACCTCGTTGAAATCAACACCTTCCTTCTGCTTATAGCCCTTAGCTACCAACCGGGCTTTGTATCGTTCCACTTGTCCGTCTACACCCCGCTTCACGTCATACACCCACTTCACCGGAATCGGTTTCACCCCAGGCGGCGGTACCTTCAGCTCCCACGTGTCTAATGCGTGGATAGATCCGATTTCTTCAGCCATCGCCTCCTGCCATTTGTCCCGTTCCGGAGAGGCCATCGCCTCTTCGTAGGTGCTCGGGATGTTGACGTCCGATACATTAACAGCAAGGTTGAGTCGTTGGGGTGGATGACGGTCACATTGGGGATAACGGTGTTGTGTAGAGGCAGCTGCACCAGCCTTATCCTCCCCCTCAGCTGCCTTACTGACAGCTTTAGGTTTCCCCTTAGTGGTCCCGCTGGTAGTCTTAGGCTTCCCTTTGGCGGAATCGGCTGCACTGCCGGTAGCCGTAGGTTCCTCCTCAGGTGCCTCAGGTGCTGCGCCAACTACCATAGGCTCCCCCTCATTCAACTCAGCTGAATCTCCAATCGCCGCGTTCCCCTGACTATCCTCTACGGCCTCACTCGGACTAAACTGCTCCCCTTGCCGGGGAGGGGCTGCAGTCTTGCAACTACTGCTAGCCACATCGTCCTCATCATCAGTATCGCTTCCGCTGCCGCTGCTTTCGCTATCATCCGCAGGCAGCGTGTGGGACGTTGGCGTCTCCTCAAAAAGCACGCTCCTGCTCACTACGATACACTTAGACCCGTCTAATAAAATCCGGTATCCTTTGCAGTTGCGCTCGTAGCCCACCAAGACACCCTTCTGGCTCGTTGCATCGAGCTTATTGCGGTGCCTCCTCTCGACATGCACCCACGCAGTACACCCAAACACGCGCAAATCAGAGACATCTGGCTTCACACGGTGGAAACCTTCAAAGGGTGTTATCTGCTTGCCCGACACAGGCGAACAATTATGCAGGGCACATGCAGTGGTAATAGCTTCGGCCCATAATTCATGCGGCAATCCTGAGTCTTGCAACATCGCGCGGGTCTTCTCCAGGAGTGTGCGGTTCAGCCTCTCAGCACGGCCATTTTGCTCAGGAGTGTACGGCACGGACGTGTCATGCTGGACCCCCTTACCCTTAAGGTACTGTCCTAGAGCCTTATTCAAATACTCCCCACCACGATCCGACTGAACTGCTAGGAGCTTCTTGCCCGATTGGGTCTCTAACAGCTGCAATACTTCCTGGGCCGCTTCCGGAACTTCTCCCTTTGTCCCTACACAGCGCACCACTGCAAAACTCGAATGCTCATCCAGAAACGTGGCGACATACCTTGACCCGCCCATAGACGGAACAGGCATCTCACACACATCCATATGCACTCGCTGCAAAACACGGTTTGCTGCATTCCCAGACGGAGGAAAAGACGTGCGGGTATGCTTGGCCTTCACACACGGCTCACAGATACTCTTCTCCTTCACCTTCTCCCGGATTTCAGCCGCGCTCAGGCCCATACCAGTGACCATTTCATCAGATACAAGCTTCTCTAGATTACCGTACCCTATGTGTCCGAACCGACGATGCCAAAGTCCCGCAGATTCGGACAAGACCGCCAGGGTTTGAATGCACTCCCCCTGGCCCAACCGGGTCGCCTTTAGGTAGTAATGGGTGCCTACTCGCACACACGGGATTTGCTCCCCGTACTCCCACTCCAGGCTTGTGTACTTCCTCATCCACGGAGAAAGCATTTTAGGGTGAACCGGGAATCGGCTGACAAGACGTTTCGGCTGCCTAACCACAGCAACCGGCCCACGAAAATCCACGTGGTAACCCTTCAGACCTAGTTCGCCTACCGAAATCAGCTTGTGACCTAATCCCGGCGCATGATACACATTCTTTAGGGTAATCTTAATCTTGCCATTCTCTCCCTCTGCTTCTAGCAGGACGGTACCCACTCCAACCATCTTGCAAATCGCACCCGCCACACCTTCTAGGACTATGCCATCCGTGAGCGGTACGTACTCGCTGAAGTCCGACCGGTCGTCCGTAACATGGACGGCCGCTGCCGAGTCCATTTTCCAAGCCAGCTTGGCGAGCGACTTCTCAGCTGTTGCCTGGATTTCCGTGGCTTCGGAGGTGGTGGAGGTGGTTAGGGCCATTACCAGCTGCTTGCTGCGTCGGTTGTTGCCCTTGTTGTTGCCCCTTGTGACGAGCGGGCACTGAGACTTGATATGCCCAAGAACGCCACATTTATGGCACTTATGGGTTGCGTAGGGGTTGATGGAAACATCAGGCCCGCCAGAGCTGGTACTCGCCCCGATGTTGACATTTCCCTGGCCTTTACCAGCTCCACTACGGTAGTCGCCACCGAAGCCACGGTGGCCTACCCCACTGCTCCGGTTGCTAAACGCCAGGGCCTCGGCCTGGGCCCACTCTGCGTTGTTGTCACCTTGCATCCGCTCCACCAGGAGTAGAGCGGCCTTGATTTCCGAAAGCTTCATGTCGCTCGGCGGCTTGGCAGCAAAAAGCATCTGCTGCATTTGGAATTTCTTATGCAAACCACCCAAGATGGCCAGGGTGAATTGGCATTCATCGATCTTCGAGCCCACTGCAACCATTTGCTCACGCAGATCTTCTGCTTCCTCGAAGTAATCAACAACGGACTGGCCTGTCCGTTGCTTCAGGTTGCTAAATTTCTGCTTTATGAACAAGATGTTCGCTCCGATCTCAGAGACGCATTCGGCGCGGATCGCATCCCACGCCTGTGAAAACGGGGCACCGTGTATTTCACCAGCTGCGATTTTGCCTTCATGGACTTGTCGGCGACGGCGCTTGGCAGGTCTTCTGCCTCGTCCCACAAGTCCTTGCCGGCCAAACAGTACTTCATGGCCGTCCGCCAGCGAAAATAGTTGGCGTAGCTATCTAAACGCTCTACATCATTGTCCTTCCCCATACTCGTCCTATCTCTAAGCCAGAGAGTTGCTAAGCCAGCAAGTTCGGACACAGTACTTAAGCAAAATGCTCGCTCGCTTGCCGCGGCGGCGCGGGGCTCATAACCTGTTAAGATATAGGCGAGTGGAACTGTGTAGGTAAAGCCAACCTTAACCGTTACAGGTATCACAGAACAAGCTTTCAGTCAGAACATCATCTCCTTTATACCAAACATCCCATCTTATCTGTCGTACAGCCGTTAGTGTTCTGGCCGGAACTCAACATTATTTACCTCTGAGGGACGGGCAGACTTAGAAGGGGGGGCCGCCGAGCCGGAAGGACCACCGGCTTGCTTGGCGATGCCCTCGCTCCAGAGCTGCTTGACCTCATCCAAACGGACTTCGGGATTAAGGTGGCGCTGCAGAAGCGCCTGGAAAGCGCAATTCTGCAGCATATCCACGTCAAGAAACGCGGCCAGATTGCTGTCCAGCGTCTCGCAGATGCCATCAATAATTATCGTCTTACGCCTAGTGTCCGACGTACTCGGAGGCGGCGATGTAGGTGACAAATCCCGAAGCTGCGCTTGGACATCCTTCAGGGCGGAGGTTATTTCGCCCAAGCGCTAGCCGTATTCGGCGAGAATGCCGTGAACCTCTCCCTTAAAGGAAGATAATTCCGCTTGAAGAGCGGGGACTTGATTTTCGCGAAGGCGAGGCGCGCTGCGCGGCATCCGAGGGCGATTCCGCCGGAGAATCAACGTCCATCTGTGGACAATTAACAGGAATATTATTAATATGATGTTCCTTATTGGGAATAGCCAAAGGGCGTTCATCTTCGTCGTCGGAATTAGTAGCCTCGGGCGCAGCAGGGTCCTATTCCTGAAGGGATGCTTCGCGATACCTTTCATACGATTTTTGAAGCTTAAGGAATTTAGTCAAACGCCTTTGCGCGGCCTTATTGTAGCGCATCGCGTCAAGGAGGATCGAACTTGACGCTCGATACCAATGTAGCAGTCGCTCACCTGACGGGAGGACTGACAGAGCGGAAGCGTGGAGTTATTAGTCCTCGCCGATGTAGGAAGAAGTCCAACCAAGCGGCAAGCACTAGCGTACATAAGATGTGTACGTAACGGTTAGAGACGGCGGCAGCAGAGTCTTGAACTCCGAACACCTAGTAATGTGATACGTCAGTGTCTGGCCAGAACACCCCGCCCGGGTAGCTTATATCTCGGCCTACCTGCCGGATAATCTCTACTACGGACTTTGCCGTACTAGGATAATGTTGGTGGGGCCCGGGGCCCCAGCCCGTTAGATTCGCTTAAGAACAGCTGCCCAGTTCGCGACATGTGACGAAACTCGGAACATGTACGAAACTTGAGTCAAATCGTTTACAAATTAACAGTTATTGTTAAAAGTAATCGTTAAAATATTCTAAGGGAAATGTAGCTTGCTACACCAGCAGTACAGCACCCTGTACAAACTGCCGTGTACATTATAGTATTAAAGTATTATTAAAAGTATACACCGGCGCCCTCAGGCATACGAGGGTAGGCCACCGGCCGGGGCTCCCCATCGGGTAGCAGCTGCTGCAGGCGGCCCCCCCTGGGACCCCCCCCTCTACCCGCCGCCACCGTCCCTGCCCTCACGGTGGTGTACGACAACCCTGGAGAGGACGCGTCCGGGCCGCCAGGGGCAGTCACCGCAGCCGCCGCCCCCGCCGCTGCTGGCTGCAGCAGCAACGAATGGCAGGTCGCAGCGGTGGCAGTCATGATCATCGTCGCCGTGGCAATGTGGGGGTGTGCGGGGGTTTGTGCCTCTCGCAAGACTCAATACGCTGCGTGTTGCCCCGCCGCCAGCGTGACCTCAGTTGCCGTACGTCCCGTGTTATCCCGAGTGGTCCTGCTGGCGCCCTGACATAGCAGCACCTCCACGGCGGCCACCAGGCCCAGGCGGGCAGCGGTGTGCAGGGGTGTCCCCCCTGTGGCGGGATCTCGTTCCGTGTCGGGCCCACCGGCTGCAGCCGCCAGCAGCGGCAGCAGGTGCACGTGCCGCCGTAGAACCGCCAATGTCAAGGGGCCACGGCCGGACTGCAAAACCACACATTCATACATGCATACAAGCAAACATCTGTACGCATGAATTCATCAGGCGTTGGTAAGCGGTGATGGTGGAGAGGACTGGTAGCTGTGAGATAGACCTGCAGGTGGACCGGGGGAGACAACCGCCTGTCTGTCTGTCTGTCTGTCCGACGCATGAATGGATACATCATTCAAACGAGCTTGCGGCTAACTGGCCCCCCAATCCCCACCCCTTTCCCCCGCCGTGGACTTTGGACACCTTCCGGCAGCAGTTCATTCCTTCTGGTTTCCTTGCATTCCTTGCATTCCTTGATTTCCCCCCTTCCCTCCCTCTCTCCCCTCCTCACCGCATCCACGCACAGCCGCAGTCTGTTGGTCTCCATCCCCCGCAGCAATACCCCGCAGGTCCCCTCCTTGCCGGCACACACCGCCGCCAGCAGGGGGCAGTGGCCCTCGCAGTCCCGCAGACTCAGCAGCAAGGACCTGGTCTCCGGGGGATCCCGGTTACATCGGCCCAGCAGTTCCAGGGTGGTCGCCACCTGGCCGGCAGCTGCTGCGAGATGAAGAGGGGTGCGACCAGCCTGGGGGTGAGGGGGTAGGTGAGGGGTTGAGGGGGTGGGCGGTGTTGTTGTTGATGTTGTTACAGGGTGGTTAAGCTTCACCAGTGGCCTCCTTCCCGAGGCAATTCCCTGCTCTCCCCTGCTAGAGGGGCACCCTAAGCCATTCACCCCATCCGACTTCAGAGTGTACTGTTTGAGTTTGGCAACTCACCACCAGCATCCAACCAAATCTAGCGGATCAACGGCGCGTCAACTTAGTTCCTGGTCAGCTCGCGAGTTGACTTTATCACGTCCTACACCGTCCACAAGATGGGGGGCCACCTCCCATTTCTTCACCTCTCAAACACCCCGAGAGGTCAGCAGGCGGATTTGAACCCGGACGCGCCGGGACGCGACGGGAGCAGAAGCCAGGCCTTAACTTCTGCCAGCCGCCTGCCTGTTGTTGTTCTTCTGGACAACGATTGCTTGGTGTGCGTTGCGAACGGGGGGGTTGTGGGGTCGTGGATGCTGTTGGGGAGAGTTTGGCCCGCCTGGAACTGCCCCCTCCTCCTAGCCACCCGCCCGCCCACGGGGGCCCCCCACAGATACACACACACGCGCGCGCGCACCCACCTTGTCCTGCAGTGTTGTTTTGGCACGTCGCGCCAGCAGCTCCCTGACCACCACGTCGAACCCCTTGGCAGCGGCAAGGTGGAGCGCAGTCTGGCCCTCCTGGGTCAGGTGGCCCCTCGGCAGGGGCAGGGGGATGGGGTGGCGGGAAAGACAAAGGAATGAGCTTCCCTGTGGCAGAGCCGCCTGCCATGTGGGCACTATCCTAACACCTGTAGAGGAACTCCTAGGAAACCTCGGATAAGCATCATGTGTCCTTAAGTCCTACTATAGCTCAGCTCCTGGATCACAGCGCAGGGCCGGGTGAAGAGTGTTGGCATGGCGTTTCGAGGGGGCACTGGGAAGTGAGTGGGGAGAGCGCGAGGCAGGGGCTGGACACGCGACCGTATGGAAGGATTTTGCCGCGCCGCATTTCCTACAAATTCAACGTGTTGTATTGACTTCCTTCAGGAGCCCACTTGTCTCGACGCCGACCAATCCATGACATTGGAAGCATGAAAAGCCATGCACCCCCGCGCGGACTCCCGAAGACGGTGCGAAGCCTCCCTGGAGTCCGCTTACGGAATCGCCCAGCGCGAGGCTTTCCCGACCTGCGACCTGAGTTCAGATAAAATTATTTATTCAATCAATCTGTTTGCCTGCGATCTATGGAGCTTTTAAAATTGCAAAGAATGATCAAGCAGAACCGCCATGATCAAGCAGAACCGCTGTTCCTGATCAGCGAATGTAAAGCTATTGATTGAAATTACTGTTGCAGCGAGAAGCGTCGTGCTGGGCGATTCCGTTGGCGGACTCCAGGGAGGCTTCGCACCGTCTCCGGGAGTCCGCGCGGGGGTGCGCCATGCACCCGTGCGGGGGTGCGCCATGTAACAAAGCTCGGCAGTTGGCGAAGCAGTTACAATAAGAATTATCCAACGATAAAGGTGGTATTGATAAATACCGTTTGGTATTGGAAAGATTATGAATAGTTCTTGGATGTACCGTTGGTACGATAACCGTTGGCCCGGTGAGCTGAGGGCCGCCTTAGCGGCGTTACATTCCCCCCCTCGTGAATGCGAACCCATCCTCGGGGCGCCTTGAGTGAGGTGGATGTTTAGGGTAGAGGTACGCCTTTTGCGTACAGTTTCCCATGGTAAGCGCGGATTGCCTCTGGGCATCCTTGGTTGCAGTCCTTTGCAGACTCCCAGGAGTCGTACTCGGGGCCCAGTTTGTGCCACCTGACGAGGTACTCCGTGGTGATGCGGCGCCTGCTGCGAGACTGCCGTTGGGCGTGTATCTCGTCCACGTACCACAAGGGTTCGCCCTCAGCTGCGGGAATCGCAGGTGGGGGTGGCGCGTTGCTGCCAGCCTTGTAGGCTTTGAGTTTAGAGACGTGGAATACGTCATGCGTGCGCAAGTGTGCTGGGAGCTGTAGTCGAACCGCGGCTTCGCCCACCTTGGCAGTGATGGGGAAGGGGCCGATGTAGCGTGGCATGAATTTGCCAAGGCCTTTCATGTTTGGTGCCCGGAACGTGAAGTTCTTGGTGCTCAGCAGGACTTGCTGTCCAACCTCAAACTGGGCTTCACGGCGAGCTTTGTCCGCGTATTTGGCTTGGCGCTGCTTTGCGGCGTCGAGGCACTTAGTGGCAATTGTAACCCGTTGGGTGAGGCTGTCGGCGAGTTCATCTGCCGCCGGATATTTGGACTGCTGCAGTGGCAAGTCGCGATTGTGTGGTAGGGACATGGTGCGTCCATAGACGATGTAGAACGGTGTTTGTCCGGTGGACTCGTTCTTGCTGTTGTTGATGGCGAATTCTGCCTTTGGCAGCGAGTCTTCCCAGTCCGTTAGGTCGGGACCGACCCACGTAGTTATGCAGGACCTCCTGCAGCACGCGGTTCGCGTGCTCGGTTTGACCATCCGTTTGCGGGTGGAATGACGAGGACATGAGCTGGTTTTACGCCCAGTTGTTTGGCTGTGTTGCGCATGGCTTGTGCCGTGAACCGTGGGTCATGATCCGTGAGGAGCGTGGTGATTCGACCATGTTTGCAGATGATGTGGTTTACCAGCATCTTTGTGAAGCCGATGGTGGTGAGTTGGTCCGTTGTGGGCATCAGTGAGACCATCTTCGAGAACTTGTCTACGAAAACACAAATGGCTGTGTTGCTGGAAGGGGTCTGCGGTAGGCTGGTGATAAAGTCGCAGGAGACCACCTGCCATGGGCCCATTGGGGTGGGCAGGGGTTGTAGTTTGCCTGCTGGCTTTTGATTATCGGGTTTGTTGCGTTGGCACTGCGGGCATTCGTGTACGTAGCTCGACGGCACTGTACATGCCAGGCCACCAGATGCGTTTAGCAACTGTGTGCAGTGTCTTCACCACGCCACGATGTCCGGCAAGCGGTGCATCGTGGTAGGCGTGTAGGATGTCTTTTCGCAGTTGCGGGTCATTGGGCACGATAATTTTCTTGCCCTTAAACCACATGCCGTCGGTGAACGAGGCAGTGCCCCAGTTGACGTCCGGTTTGTCCGGCATTACCGCCCTTAGGCGGTCTGCCAGGGTAGGTTCCGTTGGGGACCCGTCGGTAGGCATGCCTATGTGCCTCAAGGCTGCGACCACGGTGGGGGTGTATGGATGCGGGAAAGGGGGTCGGCAACGTTCTTGCGCCCCGGCCGGTACTGCCACGTGTAGTGGAAGCGGCACAGAAACTCTTGCCACCACGCTTGGCGTCGTGACAGGTCCTTTTTTGTTTCAAACCAAATGTTCGGATGGTGGTCGGTGACCAGCGTGAAGGTGTCTTGTGCGGTTTCCAGGTACGGTCGCCACTCTTGTAGGGTGTTAATCGTACCCAGGAGCTCTTGCTCTGTGGTAGTGTAGTTGATTTCGGCTGGCGTGAACTTTTTGCTGGTGTATGCAATGGGATGTCCGTCCTGCAGCAGCACGCCGCCTGTGCCGTAGATGCTAGCGTCGGTTACAACTTCGAATGGTTTGGCGAAATCAGGAAGGTGTAGCACCAGGGTGTTGGCGAGGGCGTTTTTAATGCCATCGAAGGCCTGTTGGTGTGTGTTCGTCCATTCGGTCAGCCTTTTGCTGCCGGTGAGGGCTGTAAGTGGAGTCGCTAGCGACGAGTACCCCTGGATGAACTTGCGGAAGTAGTTCGCAAGGCCTAGGAAACCGTGCAGCACCGTCATGTCTTTTGGAACGGGATAGTTCTTAACGGCCTCGATCTTGCGGGGATCCACCTTGAGTCCCTCACGGCCGACGATGTGGCCTAGGAAGTTTACTTCGGGCTTGTTCAGCTCGCACTTCTCACGTTTTGCGTGGAAACACGCCCCTTTGAGGGATTTGAGGACCGTGCGCATGTGTTCGAGGTGACTTGATGGATCTTTGCTGAAGATGAGGATATCGTCCAGGTAAACAACACAGTAACCAGCATCGATGTGTTTTTTAAGCACGGTGTTCATGACCTTTTGGAAGGTCGCCGGTGCGTTCGTCAACCTGAAGCACAGTACTTTGTACTGGAACGTCCCGAAGGGTGTTATGAAGCTGGTTTTGGGGATGTCCTCCTCCATGATGTGGATTTGATGATAGCCGCTTTGTAGGTCGAGGGACGAGAATATGCTCGCGCCCTGAAGTTTGTTGAGGAGGTCGGTGATGTTTGGAAGTGGATACCGGTTTTTTACGGTGATTTTGTTGAGGGCGCGGAAGTCGAGGCACATGCGCAGTGAGCCGTCCTTCTTTTGTGCGAAGAGTACGGGCGCACCGAAGGGCGATTTTGATTCCTCGATGAAGCCTTTGGCCAGTAAGTCCGCGAGCTGCTTTTTCAACTCCGTTTGCTCCAACTGGGAAAGTCGGTACGACGGGGAGTATGGTGGCTTTTTGCCAGGTTCTAGCTCGATTGTGTGGCCAGTGCCGAGATCCGGCCCGAGGCCCGTTAAGGGCTCAAAACCCTCCTTATATTCTTCCAGCAGTTTTTCCAGTTTATCTGGCGACACCAGGGTAGGGTCGGACGTGGTCGCCGTTGTGGCGTCCATAGCGTTTAGCTGGGCGATATCGTCACTGGTTATGAAGGCAGCATAACAAGACACTCCTTGTTTCTGCAGTTTTTTAATCTGCTTTAGAGACACCAGGTTCGTGCTAGGTGAAGTGGCCGCGTGTAAGACGGCCGTCACGTAGTTCATGACTGCAACACCTTCGGACTGCGGCCTGTTTAGGCTCTGCAGCCGATATGAGCGGCCGTGGCGTGTCACCATGCAGGTGCCCTGTCCAAAGTCTAGTAATGCACTGTGCTCTCGCATCCAACGGCTGCCGAGAATTAGGTCGATGCCGTCGGCTAGCTTAGGGATAACTTGTGCTACGATTTCGCAGTGGAATCCGTGGATACGGAGCGACATATGCACCTGACCTTGGAGGCGGACGCTATTCGCGCCATCTCCTAGCATGCAAGTAGCTACGTGGCTAGTGAGGGGCTGTAACCCCAGTTTTTGCACAAGTGCAGCGGATACGAAAACGTGCGAAGCACCTGAGTCAACTAAGGCGACAGCATTTGTGCTAGTAAAGTTGCACGGTAGTAGTAGCACGGTGTTTTCAGTCAGAGGTTCTAGTGCAGAACACTTGGACTTTTCCTGGCAGGGGTCGAGCCATGCTTGAAACTCGCTGCTGCAGTTTGGGGACCTGGTGCGGCCACCTCCGGGTTTAGGTTCGGAGAAGATACTGGAGTTTTTTGTAAACTCTTTCAGTAAGGTTAAACCGCGTGTTTGAAATTCCTTTTCTAGGTGGGCGCACTTGGGCACCAAAATAACCGCACTAGTTGTGTCCGGAGCGCGCTGTTTCAAAGTGCTGTAGTTATTCAGCCAAGGAATCACACGATCAGCTGGTGCTGTCCACTAAGATTATGTGAAGTGAACGAGTCTGGACAGGCAAAGTTAGGACAGAGCTTTGTACGTTACAAGATGCGTCGATCGTGAACACCCGACCCGAGGCCTTCTGCAGACACAAAAATACTGAATGAAGTACGCAGTGGCTGCAGTCCACTGTTGGTGGATTCTGGGTTGGTTCCTCTATGTCCATCGGCTCCCCACACATGCTGCCTGAGGCTACGGCGTGGGCAACTTCCTAGGCATCCAACTTTTTGCGGTCCTCATTGTAATGCTGCCGTTTGGCGCATAGGTGGCCCTTGCCAAAGGGCTCTCCGCAATGATAGCAGATGTTTTGTCCCTTGGCCATCTCCCGAACCCATGTCAGCATTTCCATGTGGCTGCCTCGGCCACCATAGGCGCCACCGTGACTGCCACTGTGGCCTCCGTAGCAGCCACCTCGGTTGTTGTGGTCAGCATGGTTGCTGGATCCACCCCGTTGGGTGTGGTTGCCGTGGCCGCCAATCTGTCAGGGTTGGGGGGGGCATCGTTAGTGCCTAAAAAGTTAAGTCGCGCAGTTTGCGCCTTGCCTGCCTCGTGGCGCGTTTGTGCACCTTGGGCATAGTTAACTAAAGTGTCAAATGCAAACCAGTTATTGCCGTTGGCATCCGTGGCGTGTTCCTGCCGCAGTTGCAGTGGCATACCGTGAATAAGCCAAGTGCATAAGTCAATTTGAGACATGTTAGGGTCGCCACGTGTAATTTCACGGAACCGTTGCATGTAATTCGGTATGGACTCACCGGGTTTCATTGTGTGTGCACCAGCATGTAGTTGTGTTCGTACATGGTGAGGGGTGCAACGGTGCATGTCACCGAAAAACAACACGAAGTCGTCACACATGCTCTGTATTGTGAGTGTGCAGCCTTTGCGTGCGAATAAGTCATGGTACCACTCTGCAACTTTGCCTGTAACATAATATGGTGCCTGGTCGCTGGCCTGTGCCAGCGGCACTGGTGCAGTGGCCGCCGGCGGTTCTGCAGCCGTTGGCTGCATGTTGGGGCCTTCTGCTGCTGGTATGATGGGTTCGGACGGAGGAGGGGGAGGAGGAGGCGGTGTGGCGGCTTGGGCCTGAATGTGCGCCTCTATGCCTTCTATTCTCCTCGACAGTTGATCGAGTTTGTCCAGCAGCAGCTTATTAAAGTCGTCATCGTGCGGGGCTGCACCTGTTGGGTGTGCTGCATGGTCCATAGCGTCAGTTTGCGTGATAATACATGCAACATTTTGTTGCAGGGACCTAAGCACCAATCGACATGGTGGCAACCCCCCCTCAGGCGGGACGAGGTCAGCCGCAGTGGTGTTGTTATGTTCACGCTCTTTGTGCAACTCACCCTGCCATGTGCCGCATTGCGGCTGGAGTGCGGCAGTGGGCAAAGTTACCCTGGTCGGCCCCGTGGCGACAGCCGTTGGCTGCGCAGTACGTGGGCAAGATGGTCCTGGACCTGTTGGGTCGTGTGCTCCATTGTTGTCGGCGTCCTGCACCGCAGTGGCTAATCATTCCCGCAGTTTGCGGTGTTTCTGCACACAAGAGAGTTCCTCATTAGCTCCATTAGGAAGCCTAGTGCAGAGCGATAGTCTTGCTCGTCACATAATTGTCTGACTTTGTCAAACATGTGCGACGGCGGTGTGATGCCCCTACGCTGGGCACGCCTCACGTACTTTTCGTACATTTCCTGGACCTTATGTACCAGTTCCTTTGCTTTGGAAGGGCTCACCTGGCGCAGCTGATAGCGCTCATGGTCGGCCTCCGCCGACTGGGTGCGCATGGTATTCCGTGGGTTCGCCATGAGGGATAGGTAGAAAATGTTTGAAAAACTAGAATGTATATGCGGAAGCGATGGAGTACTCGACTCCAAGGTCGTTTGACCGGTTGGTCTAAGATACCAAAATTGTAACAAAGATCTGCAGTTGGCGAAGCAGTTACAATGAGAATTATCCAACGATAAAGGTGGTATTGATAGATACCGTTTGGTATTGGAAAGATTATGAATAGTTCTTGGATGTACCGTTGGTACGATAACCGTTGGCCCGGTGAGCTGAGGGCCGCCTTAGCGGCGTTACACGCCATACATATTGATCCCGATGTGCACTTTTCTCGACGCCGACTAATCCAGGACATTGGAAGCGTGAAGAGCCATACATACAACGACCATATTTCAAAAATAGCTTCTCTTCACGCTTGCGGAGCACGATATCGAGGCTATTGAATATTGCTTTCTAGTAGCACGCGCGTGGGTGAGGCGCAAAGACGTTTCAGCACAATGCGTTGA